GATTACTGAAATATCTGAGCAATACATTTTTATCAACAATGCTTTTTAATAAATAGCCTCACTTCCAGGAACAAATCTCCTCAAAACAAAAATACAGAAAATTTTCAAGCATATCTGACTAAAAAGATATTACATTCATTGACTTTTACATATTGAAAAATATATTTCTACAAGCAGATAATATTTAAAATTATCTATTATTTATTATTAAGAAATACTATTTGAAAATATTTTTAATTTAATATTTGAATACTACTAAATTATATTTTTAATCATTTTTATTAATATTTAAGAAAACTAATACTTTTAAATTTTTTGGAAAAGATCTCAATTATTTTGTATACAATTAAAGCAAATAAATATTCCCCACCATTTACTATAAAATAAACAATTATTCTTTAATTAAGCTAAAATTAACTTTCACGTTATTTCAGAGTTGATTGATCCCTAAGGTCAATGTATTAGGCGCTGCGTTACATAATAGTTGGACTATACAGATCATTCTGGTAGCTAGCTACTCACCTAACAACTAGGTTAGGTAAACGGTATTAACATTTCGTTGACAGTATGGATAGTTTCTAATTTATCGCCTTATAATAACACGTGATTCGAAAATTACAAATACATCTTTATATTTATAAAATACTACATGACGTAAAATTTTTATCTTTATTATTCAATTATCTCCTTTTATCATTGTATCATTGATTTGTCACCGAGCAATCTATTTATAGCAGTCATTAGACCATACTTGTACTGTTTAAATGAACCACTGCAACAGTAATTATTTCTTCACGCGTGAGGAATAAAAAGTTAAAAATTCAGAAGAAATAAATATAAGGGGAATAAAAATTAAATGTGATAATAAAGAAAAATATAAAATAATAGAAATTATAGCAATAAATAGCAAATGCAAGAATAATAAAATGCAGCTATAATAATAAAAAGTAAATATAAAAGTAACAAAAATTAAAAATAACACAAAGAAGCTATGACGACGAAAACTGAATATAAATATAATAAAAATTAAATATAGCGATAAATAATAAATACGTGCACAGTAAAATGTAAATGTGCGAATAAAGAATAAATACAATAGTAATAAAAAGTAAATATAAAAATAACAATAAAAAATAAATTTAAAAAATAACAAATAAAATAAACAAAGGTGTTACAAAAAAATTCGTATATTACGTCTGCTATATCAGATTAATAATATAAGGGCATAATTTCATTTACTTTATTTTTTACTTCTTTGTTGCTATCCCAATTATAAATCCAAGACATAAATTTAGTTTGTTCAGTTCATTCATTCGATTCTAGCATTAAACAAATCAATCGCACAAAATAAATCAAACGCGCGGCCATTAAGGTTACCAGAGTTATCATAATCGATTGCATGAATAATAATACTTAATTCATGAATGACAGCATTCAAGCATTGGTAATAATAACGGTAATGATGCGGTCGCGACTCCTACGCCATCTTTTAGAAGAAAATAACATATCAACACTCGTGTATCTCCTATTTTCATCTCCATTTTGTTCCTTTTAATTCTTATTTTGTTTCAGCAGATATAGAATATATTACAAAATATTTTTGTAACAAAATATGTTTACATAATTTATTATTCATTGTTTAATTAAATTTATATAAATTTAATTAAGCAATTTTTTGAAAATAATGTTAAATTCAATTTTACTTAAATTCATAATTAAATTTAATTGAATTTACGTTACTTCAAAAAATTTCCTTTATTTTGAGAAAATTGGAATTATTTATCTTAATCTGACTTGTAATAAATCGGAAATAATTTCACATTAGTTTATACAAATTTATAATAATTATTATTATGTGTATACAAAATTTCTAGATAATAGATAAAATTTTGAATTCTTTCAGAATAAGTGTTTTCAATTTACTTTTATATGTAATATATTTATAATTGTTATTCCGAGTAAAGAAAATTTGTATCTTACAGACTTTTGACGAAGTGTCAATGCAATGTTTTAGATATAGAAAAAGAAATTTGCGTTTATACGAGTACTATAAACTGAGATATCTTCAAGCACTTTGGTGTATTTATGGCGTCGACATATAATTTTTGAAATGTCGAGCCGTTTATTATTTTGCTTGCGACAGAACTCAGAAAACGATTGCGAGTACAATGACAGCCGATAAAGTGCATATTCAACACTATGTGTCGTCTTCGCGTTTTAACTTTATAAAGGCTACGCTGAAGTTGCAGAAATCTTCTACTCTTGGTGTTAATGCCATAACACAAACCATATCGTGAAAAAATAAAAGCTACGTTAATTACATTAAGATAGTAAGCGTAGATAGTGATAATAAATAAACGTGATAGTAAATAAGATAGTAAACGCGAATTAAAATATTAAAAGCTACATAGCCAAGTATTTATATCTTCCAAAGTTTATTTTTCATATTTATTATTTTTTATTCCATTCTATCTTACTATTATATTAGTATAGTTCCAAGAAGCAATTTATTTGTTCCACTTATTAATCTCTATCTCCTAGTATAATATGCCTCTATAACAAATAATAATTCCTTCTTTCCATGAACAAAGAAACATCTGACTATTTAGATCAAACTTAAAAAGATCAAAATCTAAGAACAATAACAATTACTGAATATATATAGCAAAAATTTAAAAAAAAAAGAAATCATTGACATCAATAAAGAAAACCTAAATAATTAAAATTATTTTAGGTCTTTAAAAATATATAAATAAACGAAAATATTTTTTTATATTTCATCCTAGAAAAAAAAAATATCCCTATATCTTACAGTAATCCCACTAGGGATTATTAATTCAATATCACCATAAACTAAAACGCTTAAAACTTCGCGTTATTTAAAAACAATCCTCGAACCGAATTACGATTAAACTTCAACGAGTTTACGATGTACAAACGATTCGATATCGAGCAATTCATTGGAACGGCAATATCTTGAACGAGATCTCCGCTCGAAACGAGCCACGAGGACCGTTTGAGGCCTTCCGCTTCCGCGGGACTTTTTATCCGCGTCGATCGGAAAATAAAGATCGTCACCTCGGATAAATTCAATGAAACCTTAAAGCCGGCTTCTCAACAGGCTCCAAGTGGATCGCGGTAATTAAATTGCGAGTCTGGCTCAATTCCACGGATATAAATCTGCGGAGGAACATCGGTCACGCACCGCGCGAATTAAGGACTCTAAATCCGCGAGTGCCACGGCAAACATGGCAGAACCACTCCAGTTCCGGTGAACTCGAATCAGTTCCATGATTCGTTAGACTATATATCCTTGACTTGCTTTTTATCTTTATAACTGCTTGTTGGAAAATCTTTCATTTTATCCCAATTACTATCGTTTTCAATTTATCATTTTCTTTTTTTCGAAAATTGAATTTTAGAAATTGCAACATTTCTGTGATTATTTGTTTCTTAATTGTATTTCGCTTAATACATATTTTAAGAAGTCACAGAGAATGTTTCAAAATTATTTATACTCTTGTATAAATTTATTTGTATCTCGTTATTCTTCCCTTGCTACATGTAAATTGTGTGGAATAAATTTTTACTGCAGTAATTGTGCTGTAGTAATATTGAATTAGGAGCAACTTTTGTTCTACAATGAAAATTTATAATTGTTGAAAATAATTCATTCGCTTAATTCCGAATTAAATGTTATACAAGTTTACAAATTTATTTTAATAATTATATACGATTAATTATTGAAATTAATAATGTTTAATACATGGTCAAAATTTACAGAAATCAATAAGTAACACACTAAAAATAGAACACAAGGATTTACTAATATGTTTATAAATGAGAGAAAAGTGAAATTAATGAAATAAATGTAATTAAAAAAAAAAATAGGTCTACAGGCCCGTATGAAGGAGCAAAAATCGTGAAGTAGTTCAGTGATCATCAAAGGACAGAAATTAATCGAACATCACGGTTCAATAAATCACCAACACGCTTTTAAAAATCACTATGACCGGTACGTCAAAAGACCATAAAAAGAGCCAAGTCAATTTTACTTGGGCGACATCCTCAAAGAACTGGAGTTAATCGAACACTGGTGCGCGACGTGTCACGTTTTTATTACTACACCACCAAGAGCAAAAAGATATATCAAACAAATTCTACCTTAATAAATCCCTGAAAAATAGAGGAAATCACACATAAAGGTACAATACGAACAAGAATCGTCCTAATCCATCGAGAAAATTACCACGGAGACAAAAAGAAAGAAGAAAAGAAAGAGGCAAAAGTCTTGCTGACATCGCGACGAATTAAAAACCGTGGCGAATCGTGGACGCAAAACCAGAACGAATTTTCTACGCTGCCGGGCACAGACGAACTTAGCCAAACGCAGAAACTTAATAAAGTCTCGTGCACAGTGGTAGCAGATGGGTTTCCCTATTTAACCTCTTACAGCCTGCCTATTGATTTTCTCCGGTCCTATTGTTTTGGCACGTCGCGCGTTTAACGAAACGTAAGAGAGAAACGGGCGGAAGAGAGACGGACAGCGAGGAGCACGACATCACAGCGCTCGCGAAATATTCGATGATCGATTTACGAAACGCGAAAGAAACGGGAAAGTTGATGCACAGACGCACGAGCAAGAGAACCACGAGCTGTCAATTTGTCGCGATGTTGTGAATCATCTCTATTTCGGGAGACACCCGTTGGGTGGTCCTACCCTGTCGTTTTTGAGGTTAGCTCGTCCGTAATCCGCATCGACTCTCGGACGTATACGGTCATGTACGACCGAGAGGCGAGTGTCGGTCTAAACGATGAATAAAATAATTTAGAAGATCGCGTTTTATCGGCGAGGAAACGAGCAGGAACGATCGGAAAAGTCTAAACGAGGGCAGCACGCCCATCTGTCGGAAATCACGGAAAAATCAATAGGAACTGGCGGCATCGCCACCAGCCGCCGGTTTCAAGATATTATCAAGCTATTGGTAGCTTCTACTCACCGTGAAAAATATCCATAGATAGAAAAGGAACCTTGTTTCGTTGCACAAAATCAATTTGTCACTTCGGCCACAACCACACGTCCGACAACTCTTGCGACTCCGCCGTTTCAGTTTCGAGCGTTCCTCTCGTTCAAGGTCAGTGACGGCGCGTACGAAAAAATTAAGGCGCCTTGAGTACCCTCTGTAACTGAAACAGCAACACGGAACGTTTTTTCTTTTATTTTCTTTTTCCATTGATTTTTTTCGTATACAAACTGTTTTATTCGTGTTATATCGTGTTTCAATGAGAAATGTATAAATTCGTATTACATAACGATGATAAAATTTGTGTTAGTAACAAATTAACATTTAGTATTCATAATTTTAGTAATATTCGAATTAGTAGAATTTAATAAACGTGTAAAAATTAGTTTTTGACTATAAAAACAAAAATAACTGTTTATAAATTACAAGTGAAGTATTAAAAGTATAATTATTTTTCGAAAACAATGTTTCATTTTTTATATAATGTTAATAACTGAATGTACAAGTGTATAAATACAATAAATTATATTGATATCACTTCTTTTCAACTGCACTTGTTATCATTTATTATAATCTTTAATAAATTGTAATATTTATTTCTAATTAACATCAACATACATTTTCATTAAAATCTTGTTACAAGATATTAATATTACTGTGTCCCCACGTGAATTTAATAAAACATTGCTCGTATTCCATCACAAATTACCATATTTAACTACGTTATATATTTTTCATTCTTCGATTATAAAAAGTTACAATTTGAAAAAATTTTAAGATCATCTAGAAAATCTCCATGATTGTCAATACACGATCTTTAAATCCCGCTACATTTTAGATCACTCTATATTCCTCGTTTCAGAAACTTTCAGTGGCCTAATAATCGATAATAATTTCGCGCGGGCCTCAGCGCGCTACGTACTTCCCTGCGTTCGTGCGAATAACTAATCCAAATAAACAGACTTTCCTCCAAAAATAAGAAGGCCTAAACACACGCGTGACAAGAAAACACAGCGAAGGGCCATCCATGCGTATTATTCCCTGAAACGTTCGAAATCCAACGCCACTGTGAAAACGATTAATAAATCATCCAAGTTAACGAATATTATCCGAAAATGTGCACGAAAAGCGATAGATCTAAACGGAAGCGCGTCGAGTGCTGCGTTAAGGTTATACTTCGAAAAACTTCGAAATAAATCCAGCCTCTTGCACGGAATCGAGACCGCACCAAATTTGGTCATGCCAGCTCTCCATTCAGAACTGTGTTTCGTAGTACGCAATGATGTAACGCATTTTACGCTATTCGGTGTGTATCGTATTCCGTGAAATCACGAAAAATTCGTCATGAACGTACGCGTACAGAAGAGAATCTCTGTTCTGTTTTTTTCCTCTCTATCTGCTTTTCGTTGGAGGCAAATTTAACGCGCTGAGTAATAAAATGAGACCGCGTCCTAGGAATATTCTTCCTCTTCATAGACCATGAATGCATCGATGACATCACGTTTTTTTGTTATCGCGCATTACTCATGTAATTTGCATTGTTCAAAAGGTGACCGTTTTTGTGTAACGGGTTTGCTTGTGGTTTTCTATAGTTTTGTGCATACGACGTTAAGATAAAGAAGAAAAATTATTTTGCAACCATAGATAACATATATAGTAATAATAGTTTTATTTTTTATAATTAAATATAATAATTTAAAATTGTTTTAATACTTTTTTAGATTTTTAATACGTAATTTTCTTTATATATATTTCAAATTGTATTATTAAATTGGTAAGGGGTAACAAATTTGTATGTCACTTTAAATTAACTTCCAGTATCTACGTAAATGATGCTCCTATTGTATAATTTATATTGTTACATTTAAATTATTTACAATTAAATAGAAGTAAAGTATATTCGTTTTTTATAACTTTTTTTTTTTCTTTTACGAATGAGAATAATTGGTATGAAAATTGAAGACAAAAAATTGATAAAAATTAATTGATAAAAAAAAAAAATTGATAGAATTATTATGTTAAATATAAGAAAATTCTTGAATAATGGAAAATAATTAGAAATTGTGTTTTCAACTGAACCTTCTAGAAACTAAACTGACTTCTTTCGATTCGATTACTCATGTTCGTGATTAATATTCTTAAAAAAGAAATGATTTATTTCCGTGTATTTATTTATCACAAGGATATTATAGAAAAAATCATAAATTTCAAGGTAACTGATAAAAGATAATATTTATGACATCAGTTTTCACTACTTTTCAATTTACAAGCTAAAAAGATCCCATATAATTCCCTATATTACTATAATATGAAATATAAATAGATATAACGCATAATATTATAACATATGTATTATAACATATGAAATATAACATATAATAAAAATTCTTCTTATCTCATTCCATGATACGCCTTTAAAAGTACAGATAGTGATATCAAAACTCTTTTCTAGTCTCTTGAATAGGGTTACTTTTCAATTTTCTTGTATCCATTCTTCATACTGTATATATTGCATATACTCTATGTGTTTATATCATCACTATTGTCTTTTAATGATGTATGTGACTATACATATATACCTATAGTAATTCTATATTATTTCCATACATTATTTATCAATTTTCTGCTATCTTTATGGTCACTAATAAACACAAGCTGGATGTGACCTTCATCAGAAAAAATGGAATAAAATCGAAATTTTTCAATTAATGTACCTAACCTAAATCAACTCATCCACGAATAAATCTCACATGAAATAGCTCCTCCGACAAATTTCTCAAAATTGACCCAAACTTACTCGAATGTTCCAAAGAGCAGGGTGCTCCGAAAATCAAACGGCACCCCTAATCACCCCGAATACGTTCACGCACTTCAACTTGATCGCACCAACATGGTGGCACAAGGAGCATCGCACGTATCGAGTGCACCCAACAAAGCATAAATCTTCACGCTTCGTTTTAAATCCACCTTAAAGCCTATAAACGAACCACTCACTGAACCGTGCCACTTCCTAGCAGGCCTACCGGTCGCCAGTTCATTATCCGTTGAAAATAAACGTGTGCACACGTCCAAGGATTCCAGCAACGCTTTCACCGTGTATCATCCAAAAGTCACGCGTCTCCCGTAGCTCGTAGGGCTATTATATAACGTCGATCGAATCCGTAACATTACGCGCAAAAGTATGACACACGACTTCCGGTCGGTTTATCAAGAGTCGAAGGCAGCGGTCGTCGATTTTCCCGTGACGCGACGACCAACGTCCACGATCGACGCCGCGGAATCGTCGCGAATAAAATGGCGTGCGACGATTAAAAGCAGCCTGTTGCTTCTTCTAATCGCGTAGGCCACCCGCAAGGCGCGAGCCTAACGCGTTCCCTGCATTCCTGGCGCGTCGGTGGCAGAGAAAGAAGGCGTAGTAGGATCGTTGTTCGGGGACGTGGGCGCCTTTTACCATGTTGTCGCCGAACAAAATGCACCTGTGCATAAGACATCGCGCGTGGGCGATGCTCGATATATACCTGCCGGGTAAGCAGCCCGCGCGATACGTGGGCACGACCTGCATTTCAAATGCCTCGAGGACAGCCCGGCTTCGTCTACGTGATTTTTCAACCGGTAAGGTGGAAAACGACAGTCGAACAGTGGAATTACCGATCTGTAACGTGTATTTGAATATTTGACTACTGGATATTAACACTAAAACTACCGATCTTTAATGGGTACCTAACTATAACGTGCACAGATTATAGTAATTTCAGCGCTACGATGAATATGAGTGAATATATCGATTGCGGTTCTTTCTTAATATAAGTTGATACCAATTTTATTCTTAAAGCAGGTGTATGTGTTCGGTGATTGCATAAAGGATAATTCTGGGACCAGTCATTTTGACTGGGTTGGTAGTTCTAGTGTTAAGTGGAGTAACTGTATGTGTACAAGTATTTTAGTATTAAGTATAGTACTTGTACGTGTATGAGTATTTGAGTATTATGTATGGTACCAATACATATGTGAATATTTAAATATTAATTATAGTACTTATAAGAGTATGAGTATTAAAAAATTAAGTATAGTGCCTATACGTGTATGAGTATCTAAAAATTACGTGTATGAGTATTTAAATCTAATATTTGTGTATGTGTATCTCAGTATTTAAGTATTAAGTATGACATATATGTGTGTGTATTTAAGTATAAAGTATAGTGTGTGTATGTAGATAAGTGGATTAAATAGTGAATTAATTAGTGGATTAAATAGTGGATTAATGAAAGTAGGTATGTGACTGTTGTAATTATTTGTAGTGTCTAAAATGACTGACATCAATACTAGAATGACTGTTATCAGTACTAGAACTGATAACCTGTTACGTATACGTAAATATACTACACACGTAAGTGATAATGATTGAAGCGGTATGACAAAGGTAAACAGATACATAGGTCATGTTTCTATTCAAATGAAAGTCAAATTCACTTTATCAAAAGCTACAACGTGCTTTCTTTATGCCTTGATTGATTTGTTAGTTTTAGTGTTAATATTTGGACACTATGATATTTGAGAGATTATTACAGTATATCTTTGCTGATAACAAAATTTTTAAAGAAATTTTGTGTAATAAAAATATTTGAATACATGTAATCGAAATTGATCTATACGTGACGAAAATCGATCGATACGTTTTAATACTCTATTGAATATTCCTTTTTGTTAATAACTTGTTCAAAAAATGTAAAAATAAAAAATTGTTAATATTAAATAATGGTAAATTAAAAATTCCTATATTAAATATCTTTTTGTTTCCAAAATATAAGGATATGACATGAAAAAAAAGAACTGAAATGAACTGAACTTATTATTATTATAAAACAATAATTATTAATAATTTGGCTTAGTTCTTATGCATAAGTTATGTTATACAAATATATATTGTATATATTTATATCAAAATGATACTCGTTTATAAAATAATAAAAAAATAATACTGATATAATAATTTTTATAAGATGTTTAATAAATATAGACTACCTAAGTCCAATAAAAGGTGCTTTTTAATATCTCATATTAACTACAA